AATGCCTTGACAATCCCAAAAAACGGTCATCATGACCTTGCCAACGGACGGATTTGATCGAGCCTTTATTGGAGGGCCTTCATCAGGGCGCCGCCACTCCATCGATTGGGATTTGGTCTCCGGATTAAAGTATGGCACCCAGGTCTCATCTACAGTAATAATCCGAAGCCAAAAGTTCTCACCGTACCTCTTCGCCGAGTCCACAAGCTGACCACATGTCACTGTACGGTTGAGCTTCTGGTCTGGCCCCAACAGCCGAGGTACCCATCGCGCTGAAACTTTGCTCATGCCCAAATGGTTGTGCAGAATCGAGTGAACAGAGTCGAAACTGATGCATAGGGCCCTGGCAATCTCTCGCACGGTCACTCGCCTGTCCTCCATCACAAGCTCTTCCACGGCTGCCACATTTTCTTCATTAACTGAAGTGGAGGGCCTTCCAGTCCGATGGTCATCATCAAGGCTTTGCCGACCACTCTTGAAGCGGTTAATCCAAAAATAAACTGTGCTTTTTGAGTCAGCAGCATCTCCGAAAACACACTGCAAGCGCTTGACAATATCAACAGTTTTGACTCCTTCCTTCCACAAAAAGAACATTATTGACCTTTGATTTTTCACCGCGTCTTCCATAATAGAAAAATAGCAAGGGACAGCACGGCCTATAACTCGAGAATGGACTGAGTGTATCGAATGGCATTGACAGGTCCTAATGCTTACATGTTGGCCTACGTATGGGCTGACTCTTGTTACCTTAGGACTAATCGTTCTCGTTTAATAAATAAATTCCTATTACTTTTCGAACACCCCTCGTATTTAAAATTTTCTCTTCATTATAAAATCTCAGCTGTACTATATATAGGGTGGTTAAAAAAAAACGCTCTACCGTTTCCTATGGGAGGAACACAGTTTCATAAATGTAAAAAAAAATTAAATTGGATACGCGATCCATATTTGACAGTTACAAGGCGTTGAAATGCTTCCCAGCTTTCCTTCAGCACCTACCTAAGTCGTGCAATGCCCTTTTTTTTGAGGTGAATAAAGGTGCTTAGAGGTGGATCATTCCACTTCAAGTTAGGTGATGGATGACCTGTGCTCGATCGTCTCAGCATTCAATTAATTTTTCAACTCTAACTTTTCAAGGGACAGTTAGATCCAGCCCGTTACTCGACTGAGAGGTTCATGAGTCTAAGAGGTTTTTTCACTTCCGAAAGATGGCGCTGTATCCCGATAGAGGGGGCTGCTGTTGACCGGGTGACCAAGGGTGATTTTAAAAAAGGTTTAATACTCTACCTGTAAGCTGTGTACCAGAACAATACATGGCTCAGAGATTTGCTCAGAAAAAACAAGACAATCTTTTCAACACCTCCTATATGTCCAATATCAAAAGTTTATGAATCTCATATTTTTTTACTCGAACACACGAATCGTACTTTCTCCCCTTTGAAGACGGTGGAGCTTTTGTTAATCACCCTTGGTCACCCGGTCACCAACATCGCCTTCTATCGGGATACAGCGCCATCTTGCGGAAGTGAAAATAACCTCTTAGACTCATGAACCTCTCTGTCAAGTATCAGCTGCATCCAACTGTCCCTTGAAAAGTTATGGTTGAAAAGTTGATTGAATTCTGAAACGGTTGAACATAGGCAATCACCTTACTTGAGGTGGGATGATCCACCTCTAAGCACCTTTAATTCACCTCTAAATGGGCATTGCACGACTTAGGCGAGGGTGATGAAAAAAAGCTGGCAAGCATTTCAACGCTTTGTAGCTGTTAAATATGGATAGCGTATCCAATTTAATTTTTTTTTGCTACATTTATGAAACTGTGTTTCTCCCATAGAAAACGAGAGAGGGTTTTTTTTTAAACCACCCTATATATCCGGTGATCTACGAAATCCGGCGACATGTTTCGTTTTTTATTTTCACCGTTCTTGATAAGAAGCAAACTGCAACCGAGGAAATATACAGTTCATAATAGGCAGAAGTATAGCTCCAAGATGACGGATGAATAGCTCAATCTCAAATCAGCCAGAGGCCGGAGCGTGACCCTCTCTGATATTGGCGAAAAATTTTTATGCGGTGCCCTTCATGGCCAGAAGTAAGAATGCAACATTCTTCTTAGGGTATGGAGCTGTTTTGGCACAATAATTCGTTAAATTTTGTGAAATTAAAAAAAAGGGGCACCTTTTCATGCTCATGTGGGCCAAAAACTTTTCTACCAAAACGAACCCAGGAAGCACCATTGTTCTTTAAGAAGGTTAGCCTTTCGAAGTTATTTCATATAATATTTTCCTCGAGACGATACTGAAGAAAATAAAGCTATGTCAAATTTGCCAATTTTTGGTATATTCAGAAATTTGGAAAACGTCAACATGTTCATAAAACCCTATCATCATATATGTTTTTGGAATCAGCGGAAGAAGATCTAATGAATATAAACAACGGTAGAATTTGTGAGGTGAGGTCTGAATAAAAATGTTCGATATGCATTTAAAAACTATTGAATATATGACCTTTGAAATTGCTCTTATCTTTTACTCAAGTAATTGGCAGACATTCAGCAAAATTTTCAAGTTTGTTGTGATGCATAGAAAATGGCACCATACAATTGAAAACTGGATTTTTGCGAAATTTGTGATTTTTGCATTTTCGACCCATCACATCTTAAGTGGAATTTGTTGGGACAAAAATTTGACACACATCATTAGATCTTCTTCCGCTGATTCCAAAAACATATATGATGATATGATTTTATGAACATGTTGACGTTTTGAAAATTTCTGAATATACCAAAAATTGGCAAATTTCACATAGCTTTATTTTCTTCAGTATCGCCTTGAGAAAAAAATTATATGAAATAACTTCGAAAGGCTAACCTTCTTAAAGAACAATGGTGTTTCCTGGGTTCGTTTTGGTATAAAAGTTTTTGGCCCACATGAGCATGAAGAGGTGCCCCCTTTTTTAAATTTCACAAAATTTAACGAATTATTGTGCCAAAACAGCTCCATACCCTAAACAAAAATGTTGCATTCTTACTTCTGGCCATGAGGGGCACCGCATAAAAATTTTTCGCCAATATCAGAGGGGGTCATGCTCCGGCCTCCGGCTGATTTGAGATGGAAACTGTGAAACACATGGCTTCAAATTATTATATTGCCGCTTCACGAATCGGTGGTGACGGGCATTTCGACTGTTGCGTTTTCAATTTCCGGTGTTGCAAGGAAGACCCTTACCTTCATCGTTCAGGAATGCATTCCATGCTAATTTTCCTGCGTGTTTCCCTATATCTATTCTTCAGGTTGAGAAAAGAAATGGCACCGTTCTTAGTCGCATGCTCGGTTCGCCCCGTACTTGACGGGGCGAGCCGAACATAAGAGCAGAAGATAATATTGTTGATCTAATGCACTGTCGCCAAACATGGATGCGATACCAGCTTGTGGAAGTGCACGAGCACCTGAACCCTTTAACTGTCTTCACATCCAAATCGAGTTACTTCAAGCCGGGAAATCTCATTCAAGAATGAGCGGTGCTAAAAGAAATTACTGATAGGTCTACCTACCACATTTATACATAAAGCCACATTTTTTCATAGCCACTAAAACTGGCACTACATGAATTGGGAGTTCATGCAAACACGCCAGTTCTAGGTGCTCCTAACGGTGGTATTTTCGATAAACACTCCTCTCTTCTCACCATTCACCATTTATTTTGAGATAAATCATTGTATTATCCATGAAGATATATTTGACAGAGGCACGATTTACCTGCAAACATGCAAGACTTGGCAGCTGAGACAATAAACAAATCGACGAAAGGCTTAGTGGCCTGACAGTTCCCATCCTCACGATAGTGGAGCAGAAAGACCTATCGATATTACCCATCCCCAGTATGGCGTCGAACTAATGCAACCCTACCTACTTCAGAAGAGAGGAAAGAAAGGAAGTTGACTAGGTTAGTTTCAACACAGGTGATGTATCATAATTAGTTGGTGCTATGGGGCTGCATTGCTTGTAATTTTCTGCACGATTGGAGGGAGTCCAGACTTGCCACTCTTAAAAGTAATTTTTTAACACAAGAATTCCAGGCTTCCTGAAGGAGAAGCTCCAGGTCATACTTTTTTTTTGGTCCTTATATGAACAAAGGTTCCATAAATTCCATAAAATAGCGACAAACAAGAAATTAGTCTTATTTTCATAACAGATCGTTCATTGCCCTCCTTTTTCATGAATTCATACATTTCCCTGGCGTTTGTTAAATTTCTGAAAAAATTTCGAGTTTTCTCTTCTTTTCAGATCACATCAATTTTTTTTATCATACGTTTTATGTTATGCTGTAAAGACCAATTATGCGTTTTTCCGGTTATTTTTGCCCCACCTAACCCTATCCCGTATTGAACTTCGGAACACACAGGGAGGGGGGTGGGGGGGGGGGGGTCGTAGCAAGTTACGATTACATCAGCTCGAAAGATCGACTCGGTCGACAAAAAAATTCATTGATTATTGTGGCTGTACGGACAAACTGCTGGAATGTTTATTATTCTGTTTCCCTCTCTTCCCAAGGCTTTCTTCGCATTGAAAGGGGGATAGAAGTGCGAGATAACCTGAGATGTACCACCACCATCACCTCCAGATTGGCACTCGTTTGAACCGAAAAGGCACTGGGCATTGATTCTGTTGGATGTGGGCACCGGGAAGCACAAAGCATGGACGACAGCGACGAACTGCAACTCGTCAAGGAATGTCTTGAAACCCTTCCTTGAGTGGCATGACATAATCAAAGAGAGGAAGGGAGGAAGAGAGATAGGGAAAAAACGTGCAGAACTCATAGGCGAAGAGAAGCAGGTCCTTGAGCATGGGATCTTTCACTCGATATTTGAAAAGAAAAAAAAACGCCAAAGAAATACTAAGAATCATGATTGCAAATTCTATCACGAGGAGTCCACGATGACGAGGACTCGTCATCCTTGGAAGACGGAAGGCGAGCCGGACGAAGGATGAAGTCGATCAAGAGTAGAAGGTGATGACGGAGGTCTGGTTCCCTCTGACGAGGAAGAATGGAGGCATGTCCTTGGTCAGGGTCTCCAACCAGGCCATGTACAGCGGGGCCGACACGCTCTCCTTTCGCGGCATCGGCAACGTCCTACGGCGTTCCGATACGATTCAATCGCACGACCAGGGGAAATTCCACTAAAGTAAAACTCGAGTTCAACAGCGAGCCCAATATGAACGCGGTTTGACGATTTACAGAGACAGGTGGAGATTCATGAATGCAAAGAACACGGGAAACATTTCGGGAAAACGGGGAAGGATTTGGGATGGTCGGGGCAAGTGAAGATCCTGAAACATGCGTTTCTCGGAACGTTAACACTTTGGGATTTAGATAGGAGAAGGCTCGCTTAAGGTAAGCCCTTTTAAAAGGAAAAGTTGGATACTCGATACTTACATGACGATCAGGGTAGCATCGAGGGAATGATGATGGAGGAGTTCTCTTAGCCTCACGTGGCGATTGGTCTTGTCACGATTGGCCAGCAGTTCTGCCTCTGGGATGTACGTTCCTGCCACGAACGAAGGCAAGTCACGATTTCGGTAGATGAACAACGGATACTACAAGTATGGCGTTGGGATACCAAGTCCATACCAAGTTCTCTGGTTTCGTTATCCATCTCTTTGAAGGGTTCGATGAGGGTATCGAATTGCTGGAGCGCATTATCGGTCGCCTTTTTCTGGACGTCAGCGATGACTACCACGTCACTGTAGTCGATGCGGAACTTGCTCAGTAGGGCCGCCATACTAGAATCACGATGAAAACAAGTCTGCATTTTATGGATGCATGGATGAAGACAACATGAATGAGGGAGAGAGAAAGAGAGAAAGAGAGAAAGAGAGAAAGAGAGAAAGAGAGAAAAAGAGAAAGAGAGAAAGAGAGACCTTCTCTGCTCGTGTTCAAGTTCTCCCTTGGAGGAGGCGAGGGAGAAGATGCGAAGAGAAGCAGAGGAAAATTGGTTCCTCTGAATCAAAATGTAAGGAAGGAGGACCGTCAGTCCACCGTCGTCGTACAGCCACCAGACGTCGATCCGAGCTCCCTTCTTCTGTTTCTGCTGGAAACGGGTCAGATTGTTGACGACCGTCTTCGGCAAAGTGGCCCCGCCCGGTCCCCGGTACATCTGCGACAACGACATCCGTCGCTTCTTCTGCTGCTTTCGCTTTTCTTTCGTCTCCTTCTCCGTTTCGTCTGCCGAGTGGTTCCTTCGAGACGTCTCGGGACTCGAAGTCGGACTCGACTCCGCTCCCTTTTCCCCTGCGCATAAACCAGTTGTCAGACCGCAGTTGCAAGAGTCTGTGTTGTCTAGTGTGACTATGGTTCTGAAGCCTCACTTCTGTCATGGCCCCAGGAGAAGTCGAACCAGACCCACCCTAAGGCAACTGTCTCGATGGGAATTTCCCACGTCTGGTGTTTTAAGATTTTTTTTTCATTCACTTGAATGGAAAGAAATTCGGACCGAATTCGAAGATAATTTTGCCCTTCGACCTCATTGCAACAACTTCTTGTAGTTATCACAGTATTGATTGAATAATAGAGCGTTTTGGGAATTCAAAATAACAAAATTTATGAATTTACTAGACAAATTGGCTCTATGTGTCTAACGCCGATTTCTAGACATTTCTGAGCCCTGGCAATTGCATCGTCGGCAACATCCATGAGGCTTCAGTCTCTTTTCTGGCACATGACATGAGAGAAATTCTCTTTCAAGTTGTTCAAGATCTGTGGGCGTGTCCTTATAAACAATGCCAGAGTAAAAAAATTCACGAGGGGTCAAAATCCGGAGATCGAGGAGGACATTTGCCCTGGCTGAGAATTCGGAATGCTACACTCCATATGTCTGAACCTGCTTTTGAAACAAGGGTTTACGTAAATGAATTCTCTGTCACACTAGAGTGTAGGAAAAAAAGATGTGACAACATTCAGAAGTCTAATGATAAACAGCCTACAAAAATTTAAAAGTATGTTCCCCCAGATTCAGTATATAAAAAGTTGGTCACAAGAAGTCACTTTATGGACACCCTGTATATGTCTCGATTTTTCTTCCTCTGAGTTGAAGTTGGTGTTGCTTGGTTTTCCTTGTCATGTCACGGTGAAACTAGGATGATACATTGCTTGCATTTGCCATTCGCAAATTGTGGCAATGGAGCGCTTGGCCCTAATGGTTTGCACCCCCCATTTAGCCTAATCTCTATGCGCATATAGTGCAGAACCGGTCCGGCAGAGTCGGCTCGTGTCTGAAACATACTAAATCTATACAATACTCGTGTTTCCTTACCCTGCTGCTGGATCTGGTTGCTCGTACAGTTCTCTCTTAATTTTGTCCTAATTTTTTTTCAAGATGATATTAAAGTTACGTTACTGCAAGTCACAGTGCTGATGAAGTGCGTCTCGAAAAATCGGAGTGGATCGAATGAAGCAATCGCTGCCAGAAGATGCTCACGAAATCTTCTGACATCCGAAAATAATGTTTGCACCGTTACGAGTTACAGCTGAGTTCCCTGAAGACGGTATGAAAGGCTTAGTACACGTCCTTGTTGAATGGAGGAAAGCGCCTACCATCCCCTATCCTCTGTCGCTTCCGGCGAATGCATTCACGATAAGAAGTGAAGATGGTGATTAGCAAGATCATCAAAATCATCGGTGCCTAATGGTCAGGATGATGACGATAATCTGGCAGTGGCGGCCAGTACATGATCATTTTGAACAAAAATTCATCGTCGTATTGATGGAAGAACGAAAAGCACGCTTAGGTCGGTCTTTCCGTCTTATGAGTCGCACTTCTTTAATTGGCAGGTAACAAAGTAAAGGTTGCGCGAGAAACTTCCATCGAACACTCGAGGGAGAGTAGAGGCACATCCAGTCCGAGGAGAAAAGTAGTGGTCTGACGAGTTTCTCCCCTAGTGGGTTTCAAAATTTCTCCTAGACAAATTAGCATCTCGCTTACCTAGCGACTATCATGATTATGTATGATACATCTTGTCTTTTTCATCCATGGCGACTACGAATATATAAATAGGCAAAATTCGAATTCGAATGACGGAACAGCTCTCTACTCGAGGCAAAGGAACCAAAAGACTCTTGCTAGCAGGCACTCACTCATGCGCAAAGCAGACGGAGAGGTCTGCCACCCTGCTCTCGTATATATCAAACCAAGTTGATTCTGGTCCCACGCACTGGTAAGGGAGAACCTCCTTCGGGAATGTGATGAACAGAGAGTGAGGATTCCTCCCTCAAGACGTTTATGCCAAGATGGGAGGAAGGGATTGAGAAACACGAAGAAACCAGACAATGAAGTCAAATTTTCTTTTCCAACCTCGGCATGGGAAGAACGACTTTAATCAGGATGACCCGCCTTCTCTGACCTGTCTGTGACCAAATGTCAGAGAAAGCTTTTGATCTCGCATGCATAAAAGAGCATCAGAGAAAGCGAATCTCCACCCATCTACACCAAAGGGGTCTTGGCGTTAATTTCCATAAAACGACCAGGATCTTGACCGACGAAGTAACTGAATTCCTCATACGAGGGTTTCTGCTTCCATTTCAACGCCGAAGTTAGTTGGCTGTTGGTTCTTTCCCAATTTCCCATTGATGAGACTGGACAAAGATTGATATTCAACGAGGAGGTAACATGACTAGTTGTTGCGACTTCTACTCATGGACTCATTCATTCGAAGATGCTGCGAGGAGGATGCTGCATGCACATTCACTGGAGAAATCTTTGGAAACTTTCGAGATGAAATGAGTGCCACGATAGGACGAAGTTGTCTTCATCGTGGAAAACTGCATGGCTCGCCGAAAATGGATCCCCCGACACCCGATATTATCAAATTCCTACCCCTATACAGCCCCTATTTGAACTCGATTCAATCAACTTTCTCTCCAATCAAGGCAGAGGTCAAGAGATAACTGAGTTCCCGTTATCTGCTACCAGTTCCCATTACCGATAGCCACCGTATCTTGCTGCTGTGTCTTGGGCACAATAAGGTAATTTGGAGGAAGATCTGTATTCATGCTACTATTAGGAAATATACGCTTTAGTTGCTCAAGGCACATAATAGTTTCAGGGTCATTAATCAAAGAATCGCGTGCAGATGACTTTCAAGACATCGATGTATTCCGAATTCCTGTGAGAACTGGATCAATGAACAGGTCTAAACATTTCGACAATTGCATGTACTCCTTGATAGAACTATTTTTAAAACTCGCCCAAACCAATTATTCAGTCTGTAAGGGGATTCATTGTGAAGGGCCATATTACCCCAATGGCCATATTCCCCCAAGTTACCCTATCACAGACACATTCCTTAACAAATTGTGCGTGACTCAATAGGATGAGTTTACACTACCAAATTTTGTCGCAGAGCGAATTCTTACGCTTATAGGAATGTGTCATTGAGTAGAGAAGTAATATCTAAACAAAGTCGTTCTTTCCATGCCGAAGAAGGAAAACAGACTTCGTCTTCACTGTCTTGTTTCTTCGGGGTTCCCTTATCTAGGGGATAAATTACTTGAAGGGGAATGCTCATCCTCCACTCATCACATGCATGAAAGCAGTTTTCCTTATCTAGCACATGGGGTCAGAATCAAGTTGATTTGGTATACTACTGTATTCGACTGTATTGTTAGTGATACTGGATACCCCTATGCATTGTCTATGGGCCAGGGGAGGCCTCCAGGCTCTGGCCTCCCATACGCGATTCTGGGCAAGAGTCAACTGTCAGAGACCGGACTTCGATGGTTTACGTTGATGGAGAATGAATCCAATGGTTCTAAGAGAATTCTTTCAGTTACTTAAAATATTAATGGATATTTCCAAATTGTATGGATAAGTGCATCCTGAGAATTTTTGAGGAGGTCGGGCCTCTCTTGCCTCCCCTGACGAGCCGCCTTTGTAATCTGGTGTTTACTTTGAAGTTAAAACATATTGAAATCGTGTGGGGTTTCCTTTCGTTCAGTTCTCTTGTTTCTTATCGCATCCGAAATTATGCGAATACAGCTTAAGGGTTAGGGGTTCTGCTGCATCACGTGCATTCAAACACGCTGCATTTTCCACAACATGTGAACAAGTCGCACATAATTACGATTCGGCCTTTAACCACCACAGTTTCAAGTTCAACAGTACCTCTCACCCGCGATGATATTCCAGGGAATGAAATGAAAAATAAGAAGCAAGCTAAACATGAGCGGCGTTAGGGGGTGTTAGGGGGATTATACCGACCTTTTTTCCATAATGCACTAAATTTTTTAAGGAAATGGCATTATTAATGATATAAGAATGGGTTAGACTAATATTTTCAACAGCTATTTTTGCTAGCAACATGCATGATTATGACCAAAGAAAAAAGCTGGACCAGTGGGAGATATGTATAGTACTTTCCGCCGGCATTGAGTAAAGTGAGTGAAGGATAGTTCAGATAGGCGAGAATCCACTGCAAGTGAACAGAGCAGGGAATTCACCGATCCGAAAGAGGGTTATAGTTTCCCTGTTAGTCAAGTTTCTCCTGTGAGATACTGAAGTGCAGGGAGAGACTCACAAGGTGGATGAAGGTGGCAACCGTTGCTCGACTTAAAACGTAGGAGATGCTGAAGATCTGAAGGCACGTTTCAGAAGCCAAGAGAAAGAGAAAGATAAGAGGAGCAAAAGTATGAAATAATGATCAAATGAAGCAAGGGACAGCAGGAACCACTACTGGTTTTAGCGGAGAACAACAATGCTCATTGGAAATTCTGGGAATTTCTTTATTTTACCTAAGTTTGAGTCTTTCTGCCCTGGTAGAAAAAACCTACCACGTAAAAACCTGGAAGGTTTAACTTACCTCCTGGAACACGGGAAAAGTGGGCGGAAAATTCCCTAAAATTTGTAAGCAGTAGGTCCGAAAATTTTATTGCTGTTCATTTTCTGCAAACATCATTTTCAGCTTTCTAAACCACGCTGCATGGACGCTGGAGAGCTCAGTCGGTCCGTCAACATTCGTACATACCTCAACGCAAAAGAAAATGTAAAAATACGGGTGAGCCTGGGCCCCTGGATTAGCATGAACTTGAAAATAATTGCACCAAAAAAGTCAGTTTGTCACACGACAAAGCCAGGTGTTTTTAATTTGCTTGCCACCAGGAGTGTATGGCACCTAGCGACGGCATAGTTGCTAGGTATAATGACAGGACTGTTGCACATCTGCTACGTCATGCATTAAAGGGTTAAAAACTTGTCTCCAATGGCAGTATCGACTGCATGGTACCCGGAAAAAGTAATGTAGAGTAGTGCGTCTATGGACTTCAAACTAAAAAGAAAGAGTTCTTCGCAGTTTCGGTACCGTGCCGAATTTCATCACACAACTGTCCAAAGTTTCGACGAATTTCTTGACATGCATCCACTCATCGATCTATTCAACATTTTTCAAACGAACTTCCTGCTTCCGCGTTGATTCGGGAAAAGGAGGCGAAAAAGGAAAGAATTCCAGCCGAGCGTGAGACCGAGAGCTCCATCGAAGCAGAAATGAGGAAAATATGGGGAAGCTAACCGACTTACCGAGGGAGACGGCGGATTTGTTGGTCTTGAGAGGTTTCTCCTCGACGACGACTGCATTTTCCTCTTCCACGATGTCACTGTAGTCCAAACCCTCTTGGAGTCTCAGAATCCCCACCGCCAGGTAGTTGTCGAAGGCATCACTAAAATGGTAATTAAATACCACATGGATCACCCAACTCCAAACTCGGTCATCATCATCAGGTTCGTATCATTCAATTTTCCTGACAGCCCAAGGGCACAACATTTGCGGTTTCCATTTTATTCGATTTAAGTCGGGTTTGTAACTCTGGCTAGCATCCTCTGCCCTATAGGTGTGAAGAGGAGGCATGCGTGCGTTCACATCACTTTTAAAAACTGTTTCTATCATTCCATTACGTGCTATTTACAGATGATTTAAAGCACGAGTTCGTCTCCAGCGGGGCCAGATCTTGCCATATGTGTCAGATGTGACTACCATGAGGGGTCACCTCCATTTTGTTTTCGATGCTCTACAGGTAATAATAACGAATAATCAAAACTTCGCAGTTAGGTGCTATGGAAGCCAGAAATAAAATACTCGAAGGAAACCTATGGCAATCGTTCCTTTTACGGCTAGGATGCTAAAGGAAAGGTGGAATTATGGGACTGACTGAATGACATTGAAGTATTGGAGCATGTCGGTCGGGTGGCAGGAGCGCCAGTCAGCCTTGAACCCGAGGAGAAGGACATTGGGACGGAGCTTTCCCAAGCCGGACAGTTGAAGCAAGGCCTTTGTTCCTTTGTCAAATCGGTCGCTCTCCACGATGTTGTAAAAACTCTTGATATGATGACGCTGGAGCCAGGTATAACCCTTCTGGACCAGTGATGCCCTCGCGCTATGCTTCATCGGACCCTAAAAATAGGTCTTCTTTTCAATCATGCTCAAACATACATACCCTCCTCCCTCTTGCAATAAATTTCATTTTCGCATGAACATTTACGCGCTCTATAAGCGATGCATGTAACTCCCCCAGCATCCACTCCATAGAGAACTCATTATTCAATGGATTTCGTAGTATGGTCTACTACACCGATGCAAGGCGATGAACAAGTGATGACCATTTCTTCGAAAATAAATTCAATTGCGATGTTCGTAACAATAATTTATTCGCGCTGCAACTTTACGCAGGCCAGATATGAAGCGTAACCTCGGTCTCAGCAGTCCGTGATAGATGACGACCCAGAGGAGACATTCAGAATCGATAGATGACCTTGATGATGTTAAACTGATTTAGGACATGCACCAAACGCAATTAGTATATTTCCCTCAGAAATTATTCTTGAAAGATAAACTTGCTCCATAGCAGGTTTATCTCCCTAAACGGATTCTTAGAGGTAGTTCAACATTCTGTTTTGTCGTAGTGGGCCTCAGGACGACATGCACCAGATCCGTTTAACTTTAAACTGATCTAGTTTCATAATGGGCGTCTATAAGATTTCCATCAAACGGATTCCCATAGAGGACTATTGTGAGATCAGATTAGTTTAAGATAAACAGATCTGGTGCATGTCACCCTCATATATTTTTCCCTCTCATCTCATCTCTTCATTTCCATAGCGACGGTGGATATGGACGCTAATGAAAACATAGAAGTTCTTGACATCATCCTGAACCAACCTGACAAGAGGAATAACAGAAATCGACTCAATCCTCTCGAATGGTTCAGTGAAAACGAATTCCTAACAAGGTTGAGTCTTTTCAAGGGCAAAGTCTCTGACTTGGTGTGGAATAGAGGAACAGCTGGCACGTAATACTGATAATTTTCTTTCAAAGTGCATCCACATCGCCTTCGAACGCGTTTAACTCATGGATAAACGTGTTCGTGGAAACCAATCTGCTTTTCGGAGGTGCATGTCAATGATAAACACAGTCTTAACATGTTTCAGTAACTAAACCGATTCCTCAGTTGGTGTATGTCCCTCTTACCGTGTTTTCGAGTTTCCCAATGACCGTCTCTCCCTCCCGATAGGTGAACAACACTGACCTTGATGATGTGACCGGTGATGAGCAGTGAACTGGACTTGGTGAGGAGATAGGCAAATTCCAACAGGGGAGGTCGGGTACTGGGAAGACCGGCAAGGACGAGCAACTGAGGTCGGTAGTTCTTCACGTGTTCACCTGTCTTGTTCAGATCGTGCACGCTCTTCAGCGCACTCGTGTACACCTGCGCTTGCGTGCTCGAGCCCCAGTTGGCGTCTGCAAGTCACCATGGACCTCAGTTTCGAAGAGGAAAAAGAGATAAAGTAGGGGGATAGTCGATGGGGGAGGGCATACCGGGTTTGCGGTAGTTGACATATAGGTAGAGGGCCATCGTGACGCCGAAGGTGGCGAGGGCCACCTCCCACTGGATCAGGAACATCACCACCACACACATGAGTGTCCCTAACAGACTCACCCACGCGTTGTAGAACTGGACGTGAGACACAGATAGGCAACCAAACTCATTTCAGCAACTAGAATTCCCTCAGAATGAAGTTCCTCCGCTCTCATGTTAACAGTCTTACGTTGAGCGTGCTCCTGCACAAGTCTAAGTTTCGCCTGGGAAAGGATTAATGACCAAACTCATAGATTTTGATCTAAGCGAAAAGGAAGCCTGAGGGAGATGAAATGGAATTTATTGAAATTTATCCATGTCATTGTCAACTCGAAGGACCAGTCTATTCTGTGACCATCCATCATACCCATCTCCTCAATGTTCACAGAATAAGCAATACCTTCGATTAGAAGCATACGAACGCCTCGATAAGGAAAAATTAGCTGAAAATTTTCATTTAAAAGGCCTTGTTACGAAAACCATGCGCACGATATGAAGGGCTTTAACACTCCCGATCGAGTACTCGGGGAGAAACGTCTGAAATCGAAATCCGTGCCATGGAATCTAATGAGTAGCAACTACGAGTGAATCTCATGCTATCAATGCAGCGTGTCGTTTCTGACGCAAGTTGTTTCTGATGGTTTTGTTCTCATGTTTGTTGCTTCTGATGCTGCACTGCGATACTCGAAGCAGGATGTGAAGTGATGGCTCACCTTGAAAGACGGTCTCCAGCCTGGAGATTTCGTCACAGAAGCGTGGAAGACGGAGAAGTTGATGAGCCCATAGGCGGCCAGGAAAAAATTCACCACCAACGTCGCCACCGCGTTCAAATTGGCTGTAAATTTCATCATCGTCAATATCATGTCCTCCTCGAGGCACATTTATTTATCAGTGCATCTGTTAGCTGACGCTTAAGAGAAAATGATCGGTATAATGGTGAGGGGCGAGGTCGTACCCCCACGAGGTCATAAACTGTGTCAGGCACATGCACACAAGCATCCAAGAAGTCTACTTCGCAGTTTCCAAAAATATGCTACATTTTCTTCCAGGGCCCCTTCCTGAGGTACTCCCTATCATACAGGGTGGCGCGGCTAAAAGAGGCCCTGCGTATACCTGTATGTATGTATATGAAGATGCCTGAATTGTTATTATTATATTCATCGTACTTTCACGGTGAATGCCGGTATAGGAGGTATGAGAGGGGATGAGCCACATCCCGGTCATCATACTAGTCTTAGTTCTGTAGGACACGGCGATGTAGGCCGTGCCCAGGATTGTCGTACGCTGGAGGATTTAGGAGGTGGTGAACCGTTTCGGATGAGCCGTGACAATATCGGCAGCGGTCTTCGACATCCAGCTTCAGAATGTGCTTCTCGTAGTTATGAGTTCTAATGCACTGGTCCTGAAAGTCTAGGATGGTGCTCTCTTTCTGGCTTTCAGCAGTCCCTTTTTTAGCCAGTTATAGCTGAAGTCCGAGTCGTTCGATGATTTATCGATGATTTTGGGATGCTGGCCGTGAAGCGGTTCTTCCTTTCATCGCGCCTCTCTTTGTCGTCGACCTGCCGTCTTCATATTCGTCGCGTCGCAGTCGTCGCCGACTTATTATTATTACAATTGTTATTATTATTATTTATGACAAGAATACTTACAGTACGTATATATGCATTACAGTTAGGATTACAACATTAAAGGATGCGCTGGAAGTGATGTCTCTCTGGGGCAATGCAATGTCTAAATCCTGCGCAGCATATTCAGCGCAACCCAATGCAGTTCTTTCTCAGAAATGGCTTTAATTGCAGCAATGATGCTGTCCTTTAACTGATCAATTGTTCTTGGATTGTTCTGGTACACTTTGCCTTTAAGGTTCTCCCACAAGTAAAAATCACATGTACTTGAATCGGGCGATTGTGGAGGTCAGCGACTTGTTGAAACGGTGCGATCTTCGCCGAATACCGTATGGGCAACAGACAAATAGTCTCCTGACTACGATTTTAGTACATGTGATTCTTACTTGTGGGGGAACCTTAAGGGTAAAGCGTAACAGAACAATCCAAGAACAATTGATCAGTTAAAGGATAACATCACTGCTGCAATTACCGCCATTTCTGAGAAAGAACTCCAATGCATTGCGCTGAATATGCTGCACATGGTTCAGGCATGTATTTTCCCAGAGGAACATCACTTCCAGCACATCCTGTAATGCTTTAAACTTAACAGTATGGTATGTATACGTACTGTAAGTACTCTTGTCATAAAAAATAATAATAATAATGAATGAACACATCCTAATCACCATAACACCAGTTTGGGAAGATGCATACAAGCAAAGAGGTGCCAAACGGGGAGTCGCAGGTGCGAAAGACAACTTACTTATTGACCGCTCAGTGTGCATCGACGCATGTCAATACCGGAGGAACCTGTCTATGGGATGGGTGGATTACCGAAAGGCCTTTGATACCACCTCTCACAGACACCTTTTAGTGCTGTTGGAATGCCTTCGTGTCCATCCATCACTCAGAACATGCATAGAAAATCCCCTACTATGGAAGAGACGGTTCGCATTGTCGGTGGACGGTCGAATTTCCCTAACGAACTGGGTGAACATCCAACGCGGAGTGTTTCAGGGTGACTCTTTGAGTCCCATGCTATTCCGCATCTCATTGCTTCCGCTTACCATCTTGCTCCGAGATTGCGATGGGTACAACGCCGGACCACCTGGTGCAAGAGTACACCGATCACACATCTGTGGTTCATGGATGACTTAAAGCTGTACTCCTCAATTGAGAAGGGTGAAAGGCGAGAAAAATATCAACGCAAAGGAAGAAGAGAAAAGGGCAAAACATTTAGACTTCATGCTCGAGCTTCAACAGTCATATCCTGGTCACAAAGTTGCGCTCGTAGTCGTAATCATCGCGTGCCTCGGAGAGATGAAGGACACAGTCCTGTCGGCACTGGAAAGAATTCCAGCTTGTCGGCCAGTAGCTCCATCTCTAGCTAAAAGCATGCAAAACCAGGTGATCCTGGGCTCTCTTCGTGTTCTTCGGGCCCACTAGGCAGACTAAAGGACCCTGGCTTACCGCCCTTGTTGGGGGAGTCAGGGTTTCTTTAACACCTGTCCGCCTGCCCCCAGGAATGACGGGGTGGATTGAAAGCCCTCACGGGAAGGTTCATCGCTGATGTAGGGAAGCAGGCCGGCAGGATATGTATTTTAAATGCATGCAACACGTAATAATAAATCAAGCATGTTCACATACATACAAATACGCGGGGCCTCTTTTAGCTGCGCCACCCTGTAGTATCGCATAGGAACGTTAAAAAAGAACAATATTTTAAAAGATGCAACATTTCCTCTTTCCCCCCGATGCATTTCACTTTCTTTTGTTGATATCTCACTTTACTCTCTTCAAATCGACAGGGTCTGACAAAAAAAGACCAACGACTGCTAACTTGTTTATCTCCACTCTCATTGGAGCACTTTTCACGACCTTTGCACGGGCGCTTTTTTGCGCATAGTTTGATGTGTTCCTTATAGGTGCTAGAAATTTCATACAAATTAACTTTTCCTCAACAAGGCCACGATCAAAATAAATCGGAAATAGGCCGGGGACTCGAATCCGATCCTTCTGCCTCGTCCAAGCGCCTCATTCTCCAATCGAGACCAAAAGAAACTCTGAATCAGATATGAGAAAACTCTCTTTTTTATATATTATTCACATATCATATTGATTCACATATCATCGATCGGAATGAAACTAATTAAAACTATTTGTAAGAAAGGCCTGCTTTAAAAAAATTATTTTGAATGGGAGAGAAGTTGGATGCGGCCTGGATGGTATCCAAGCAGAGCGCTCGCGTGTCCTCCACCCTGTCCTCCATCCTGTCCACTCCACTATCAACACTAGCTCGCGTCCATTTTTATTATCCAACTTCTTTTTATTTGGTATTCATAGCCTTACTTCGGAGCAAAGAATTTTTAAGAAATGTGGATTATATGTTGGAAACATATCCATTTATGCGGAGTGGAAGTTTAAAAAATAGCTCCAGGGAGAGTGGAGATATTTCGATTAAAATTCTTTGGGGTTTTTTTTTGCCACATCCTCTATACATAGTAACTGGCAAAAAAAAAGCGTTCCGTGTCACGCTTTGTGAAACGTCGACTGTAGAAATTCTGGGCTTGTAATTTATCTCTACCATATTGGAAATACTACCAATTTTGTTTCCTTTGAGTTTCGAGTGTCGGATTCGTCTGGATAAAAAGCGACTGTCACTCAAAATGCAGTAATAAAATTAAACTTTTTTTAGGCACGAGACGGGTGCAACTGCACCCATCTCCGCACGCCCAAAACATTTCTCTCCTTTGAAGCCACAAAAGCTGCTTTTTACGCTGTGTTCTCGTCATAATATTATTGATTTTGCAGTGTCTTTAAACCTTTGGTGAGAATGTAAGGCCTGGATTTTGCAGTGTGTTCAGAGTATAAGAACCGGAGAGGGAAAAGAATACCGAGTTTTCCATCAAGTCGTGGATTTGTTCCGTGGAGTCTCTTCCTTTCCTGCCCCTTTTAAAACACCCCTTTAGCACAATGACCTCTACTTTCAGAGATACGACATGATGGCACAGCACTGTCAAGAACATTGCAATAAGAATGCAGCCATATGAAACCAATCGGCACAATAATGTTCCCTCGATGTTGAGAAAAGGTTGACTTTTCAAATTGACATGTTGTCTCAACGTTGCCCCAATATTGAAATGAAACACAAATCAATGTTGAAGAGGTGTTGCTGGGTAACGTTGTGTCAACGTTACATGAATTGTCAACGTACGGGCATTATATAACCTCCACCCTTATCCATAGTCTGGAAGAGCGTTAATTAGTCGAAGGAATTGAATGTTGATTCGATAACCTCACGGAGAGTACCCAAATGGTATGATACAAGTAGTACTCTACTGAGTACAAACATCTCACGTAACGGACCCTCACAGCCTTATTTCCTATATCCTATTTGAATCATAATTCAAATTGAGTACTTACATGACTCAACTCTCTCTCTCTGTTCAGTAGAGAAAAACTTCACGGACATGTTTTCGTGCTCTATCCTCTACGGAAGAGCTCGAGTGAATGCATGTGCTATGTGGAGATTTAGGAATATTGAGCATGTCTCCACGACCCCCATTGGCCAGAAATACTTCGAGTCTCCTTCTGCCTGATTACCTCCTTAAACAGGTCTATCTAGAAATCCCCAAACCTTCCCTTATGCTGTAAATGGGAAAAGATCGGGTACTGTATGGAAAATGCAAAGTATCAGGGCATCAGGTAAGAATCGCTGAATCGGCGGTTAGGTGCCATCTCGCGTCGATTTGCGGCACCCATATTCTGTCGATATGATGTGGATAACTCCACGAAGAAATAACATTGAGAATACGATGAAAAATGAACATCGATGAAATGCTAGCTATTCGTAATTAACCGCATTTTCAGCATTTGGTTACTACTTGTGAATTAGGCTCAGGTCGAGACAGGAATTCTTTACTTGCAGAGTGGTGAACGCGTGGAATGCGTTAGATGACGAAGTAGTGGCTGCCCCACGCTGTGACTATCTTTAAGAAGAAACTAGATGCTTTCATGGACAGGCAAAAAGGTGGGGGGCAATGTTGACGTTAGGTACTAGACAGTAAGCAACTAGGATAGTCAAAAAATAATAATAATAATAATAAATAAATAATGAAAAATAAAAAAAATGAAAAATATTTAGCTTCAAGAGGGTTAGGCCTACCCTAAAATTAAGGAACGCTCGACCTCGACACGTGATATCGAAATGGGCGAAATCGCCTCTTGATGTCACTAACTATCTTGACTCTTGACTTGAATTAGGGAAGTCGTNAGACAAATCTCTTTTTCTACAGAAGGATTTATGAAGCTTCAAACAGAATGCGCCCAAGCAGCATGTATGTATGTAAATAAGATATCAATTTTTTGCAAACAATGTAAATTTCTTGCGATTGCCATGAAAATGACATCACGTTAACGTAAAATTTACGTTCCTATATTTATGTCACCAAAGTGTACGTGTATTTTACATCAACTAGACGTCACTCCATCTGACGTGAAGTACATGATATTAAGTTTATGAAAAATTAACACATCATCTATATGAAACTTTAGCTGACCATCCTGCTGTTGCAGTACCAAGATTCCTCACTAGATGGAACCCTTGTTCCCTGCATCCTACAATTACTATTAAGTACTGGTTTTCCTGATATAGTATCAGGTTTTCTTAGCATCCTTCTACTTTTTATTATGCAATCAATGAATATATATATGGAAAACACGACATTATAATATATATATTTATAATATATGACTCAGGTAATCATTAAATGCTGAGGTTAAGCTTTTTATTACAGCAGTGCACGAGATTAGGGATGAGTACTAATGGAATCCCAGCCATAAGTACAACATCTCTATCCTAAAAGGAAGAGAGCTCCTTTGAACGTCTACTCCTCCTCCCAAGGTTCCGGTACGGGAGGAGGAAGCAGGAGGTCACTTTGGTACTCTTGAGTGCTGGTGAGGATGAGTATTCGTGTACTCGTCCAACCACCCTAGATTTCTGAAGAACGTAAAGGAATAGGAGATTCAGTATATGAGTTGTATGTAAAATGGTACTGATTGGCTCTTTAAATACGCATTAATGCCAGGGGGAAATTAACATAAATCTTACGTAAAATGAATGTAAACATGTATTAACTTCCAAAGTGGGATTTTTTCTGAACTCTGCATCCCAAAAGGTACATGTGTACCAAGTTTCAGATTTCTAACTTCTCAAGACATGATTAGAATTAGCGTCAGTCATTCAGTCAGTCACGATCGTCTGCTCGTATATTAGATGTAGGAATCAAACGAAACGGGGTGAATTTTTAAGCACCCCTTCTATACAAATGGGGCGTTGTCGTTTCTTGCCCAGAGAAGGAACGGAGGAAAGAACTAACCGATGAGGATGCAGGCGACGGCGAGGATGAAGCAAGCCACGTAACCCCTCACTGGATCATTATTGGCTCCGTAGCCGGCTCCAAAGAAGCTGATCCCAGGGTACAACTTATCCTTGGCTAGGGCCTAAAAAGCGTAATCCATCACGCCCAAATCAGCAGAAATGACGGCAGAAAAGAAAAGATATACATATATTTTAAAGGTTTTTTATTATCATGTATAATGGGGAAAGGGAGAAAAAAAAACGGAAGAAGCCTAATATTTAAAAGAAATTCTGAGGGGCACATTTCCGAGCATACAAAGAAATGTGGATGATGACCTTGAGGTATCGTACGTCTCGAACCCCCTCAGTCCCAGAAAGGGGTAAGGGGGGCATTTTAAATGCCCTGGGCCGAAAATGTTAAATATAATTGCTGAAAATAGAAAAAAGGTGTAAATTCCGTAGCGAAAGGGTTCACGAGCGAGAGAGCGGAGTATGTACATGATGTCATTTTGAGAGGTCGCACGAAGACAGAGTTTCTTTCTGTTTCTGCCTTTTCATATTCTCGAATTCATAAAGAAAAACAAGAACTCATAATATTCATAAGCTAAAAACGATGTTGCCTCTTCCCTTTATGCAGTCATACGGGGGTGAAAGAGAAATCCCCCCCTTTTTATCATCTGTCCCAAGACTTCTGATAGCGATATGATGGCATCATTCGGAAACGATAATAGGTTTCCTGCTGTGCACATACGTAACGCATATCACAAGCATGACCTTTTCGGATGAGGCAGAAAACTTGGATGTGTTGATATGACCATGGAAAAGCTTTGGGGTCGCACAATCTGTTAATTGTAGACCTACAAATTCGAAAATTTGTTGTGCCGTATGAGACCAAAGCTGGTGCACTGGAGGAGGGGTTGCTAAACGGGAACGTTCCTGTCTACAAAAATGTCTCCGCATCCATTGGGAGAGACTCCCCTCCGGATGCACTTTTTTTTTCCCCGCTGTCCTTAAATTTCTTTCCAGTATTTATTTATTTATTCGTTTTCCAAATGTCCTCGTGGGCCGCACTTGGAGCACCGTTGCTATAGACCAGGGGTCGGGAACCTATGGCTCACGAGCCGAAAAGTTTGGCTCATTGAGTCATGGTTGAAAATAATGGTTGTTCCTCATGTATCAAAGAATGCACACCTCTGTTTGTCAACTTCAGGAAAAATTATGTTGTTCTGAAAATCTTTTGCTCACAAGCACTTAGCTCAACCTTAATATGGCTCACTCTGCCAAAAAGGTTCCCGACCCCTGCTATAGACGAACGAATTTGACCGTTCATTGTTGAAACCCAAAACTCCCCTCCGTCCCTAACGTCTCGGACCGAGAGGGCTTCGAAGCTTTCGATGCGATCGATCTCGAACGGATGGGAAAACTCGAGGAGAAAAACCGGGGGCAGAGTCGTACCGGAAAAATAAAAGTAGACTCGCCTGGAAGACGCGAGGAGCACCGACGAGACTGGCGATGGCAGAAGAGAGCGTGGCGGCGAAGCAGCCTCCGTAGATCAACGGCATCCATGCGGAAGCAGCTGCCATCATCTGCAAGAGCAAAGTCCGTCGTCCGATACGAATCTCTCGTGCGACGGTAGGTATCTCGAAGAACGTAAATATCAGAGAACCTGGTTGCTGTTCTGGAGTCCCCACTTGCAGGATCGAAGGGTGCAGTTGAAGGCATCCGATTGCAAGACGTCGACGAGAGTCTTGTCGAGTTCGGAGATCTCTCCCGATGCCTCCCTCACGGCAGAACCTCCGAGCATCACCCCATACCCGATGTACGAGAGGTACGTGAGAACCACCGCCGCCAACGTCCCCTTCGGGATCGCCGAAGACGGGTCCTAGCAAGCGACAATATCGCACCGTCAACGATCCCAAAAGGGTTTATTTTCCGAAACCATCCCGAGACCCCATGAAAACCGTTTCGCGGAGCATAAAGCTCGGAATTTCTTTTTCTCCCTCATTCGTCTCGCCTCGTCGAGTCGACGCGGAAATTCCTTCCGACTCGTTCGAGTCCTTTCGTTCCGATCGCTTCACCCGCAAATACTTTTATGACGACGATCTGGCGATACCTTGAGGTCACCGGAGAGGTTGGCGCCGGCAACGATGCCGGTGACGGCTGGGAAGAAGACGGCAAAGACGCTGAAGAAGTCCTGGTCTCCGTCCTGGATCCTCGAGGGCCCGTATGCGGAGCCCCAGTTCCGTTGGAATACATCCTCTGTCGAGACGAAGATGGAATACACGATCCTCTTTCGACTCCCCTATAGCTCAGTCACGAGACGGTCGGTATCATGGACTCACTCCTGTAACCCACGAAGCCTCGAGCCAGATTTTTGTCGTCGTACGGGCCGATGAGGGTTCCAACGATGAAGTCCACTTGCGAGGCCACCAAGACGACCAGGAGCACGAGCTGGGTCTGCACGAAGCAAAAAACTACTTTCCAGCAAATAAAAAAAAGCGCACGTTGCGTCAAAAGCATGGTTTTTAATGCATTTATTGAGTCTTACCTACAGAAGGGGTAAGTGAAAGTCACACCATTTTGCGCTATTTTGAAAATTCTCAAATTGACTTTCCCAACCACGGTATCGGGAGAGGATAATTCTCATTCTTGACCCAAACTTCTTCATCCTGTCAATATTATTATACCAAACCGACTCGATTCTGACTTCATGTGCTAGAAAGCAGGGCCGCCCAGAAGTTTCCAGAGGCCCGGGGCAAATCTAAACCGGAGGCTCCTTGGAGGGCCCCCTTGAGGCCCTTAGGAGGCCCCTTGATAAGCCGTGGCCCGGGACCACGGATCCGGGTCAGATTGTCCCCGATGCCCCCCCCCCCCCCCCCCCCCCCCCCCCCCNNCAGATTGCCCCCGAACCCCCCCCCCCCCCCTCTGGGCGGCCCTAAAAGAATCCACGTCTACAGTAGACAGGGGAGGAGAGGAAAGAGAAACGCGAATAAAACCAGACAGTGAAGACGAAGTCCCTTCTCCTTCCTCGTCATAGAAAGAACGACTTCACTCGGCAATGATTCCTGCATTCAATGACCTGTCCATGTAAACGTAGGGTCATGCTCCGCGGCATAAATTGGCAGCGCGAACCCTCGCTATTGCGTCGTAGACAATTTGTTCGAGAGTGTTTCTGCGACATCATGCCAGACACACCTTGAGCAGCAGCACCGTGGCTATCAGTAATGGGAACGGATCGAGAACCCAAGTTGTCTTTTGACCTCTGCTTTGAATGGGGAGAAACCTAATTCAATGGGATTCAAATAGGGCGAAAGGAATTTTGTAATATGGGAAACGATCGATCTTCGGACCGATTTTCGGTGATCTACGAAGTTTTCCTTCGTTTTCTTGGTCCAATCACGGCACACGTTTCACCTAAAATGTTTCCAAAGATTTCTCTGGTGAAAGTGTATACATTATCCTTCATGGAGAATTTTCGCATGTACGAGTCCATGAGAAGAAGAAATCGCAGCAATTAGAAACATGTTCCATCATCGAGTGTCGTCTCAGTTCAGTCTTATCGATCGGAAAATAGGAAGAAGTAGCAGCAAAAAAAATTTGGCGTAAAATTGAAGCAGAAACCCTCTTATGAGGAATTCAATTATTTCACAGGACCAGATGTTCACCATTGCATCGAAATTGACACCGACATGTCTTTGTTCCTGTAGATGGGTGAAGATCCAACTATAGACAGACCCTGTCCGCATGCAAACCAACATTTTCTTGTGTTCAGGCGCTCATGAGAAAGTTTCGCTTGGTTTTCGCTTCTCCATCCTATGAGCCATCTTGGATGAAGTATTAATCTCTTTCTTAGAGATTACTCTTATCCTTACTCCTACCCTAGACCTTACCCTTTCGCGCATGCTAGACCGAAAGCTTCCCCAGACATTTTGTCGCACACAGGCCAGAAAAGTGAAGTCATCCTACAGGAAGCGGTCCTTTCTTTGTCGAGGTCAGGAAAGGGAATTAGTCTTCACCGTATGGTTTGCTTATTGCCTTCCCTTCCTCCCCTTCTCCAGTCTGGGTTGGAATTTCTCGATGGGAAATTCTTACCTTCTGCTCATCACATCCACGAGGGAGGCTCTCTCCTTCCAGAACGCGGGGTTAGAATCGAGTCGGTTTGGTATTTTTATTATTTATGTGAAAATATATTTCAAGGCAGGAATTGGGATACATATCGAAGAATGATGATCTAAATTTAGGTGAATTTCTAAAATGACCATGATAAAAACAGAAGGTATGACGCCGACCAAGGATTCTCGAAAACGAGATTCATAATGGGCGTCGAAGAAGTAAACCCTCCCTCTGGAGGAGTCACTCGTGGGGGCTTCGAGCACTCGTATATTAGAACCACCTACCGAGAGCAACGACTAGAGAATCGTTTCCGAGAGACGAGACACCGTTGGAGTCGTCTCGATGACAAGGCATGCATTACTGGAGTCTCGAGCATGAGTTGGCACTAAAAGCACCTAGCTCAGCTCTCATTCGAACGAAAAAAAGAAGAAAGGAGAGACTGACTCGAGTGACCCAATCCATTCCGACGAAGACGATGCCGAGTATGAGGATGATGGTGGCAATGCCCACCACACGGGTGTCGTTGTCCCCACCGTCGATCATATTCGTGGCGAATTCGTTGGCCAACAGATCCTTGATGGAGTCGCAGAAGCCGATGACGTACATGGCGCAGGCGATGCTGTTGGCGATGGTGAACATGAGCCCGATGGCACCACCGAACGAGGGGCCAAGGGACCTCGAAATCATGTAGTAGATTCCACCTATTTCATGCGCATGCAAAGTTTCGCAAGTGTAAGTAATCCTCGAGATGAGATCAACCCATTGCGATCCACTGCTGTCGGTATCCGACACGATTATTTTCCTCTTCCCGCTTGGATCTATTTAGTATTTGGTATTTTATTTGGTAGCTCGTGTCAAATATGTAAAAAAACACGATGTCGAAAACTGAATAGGACCTAGGCCTGCTCGTTTCGGGATTTCCGCATACATTTTCGGACCCTAGGGGTCTTCTACGAGAAGTGGACCGCAAAGGGTGTACGAATGGTGAAACGCGAGCGTGCGACCTCCTTTGATCTGTCCGTTGGTGCAGACGGCAGACATGGAGATGCTGGTGACGAGGGTCACGATGTTGGATCCGGAGATGATGAGGAGACCCTCGCCGATCCCGGCTTGTCCCATCACCCACGACAGACGCAAGAACAGCATGACCCCCCAGATGTTGAGCAGACATCGCATCTATCGCATGCACGGGGAAGGAGATCCCGATACCCATCCTCGGATCGAAAACGTCCTCGTTCGGAATGAGATCGGAGAACTCACGAACACTCCTTCCAACCAGCCGAACTTGATGACGCCCTTCTTGGGACCTTCGTCCTCCGTCTTCTCGACCGCGATCTGAGAACGAAACGACGATGTCATCGCACGGCACCAAGACAGTACAATAGAAGGAAGCGACCCAAAGTTTCCAACTGTAAGTCGAGGACCCGATAGGTTAGAGCAAAAAAAGTCGGAAAGAATGAATTTAAAACGTATTTTCAGGCACACGAGTGACCGCAATGGAATTTAACGATGGTCAACATTTCGATCAATTACCCGGTCTAAGTATACTTTTCGATCTCGATCGAAATATCATCATAACTCGATCGTGATCGAAAACCATACTTAGGGGCCACATAACTAATAGCTCGATCATCATAACTCGATAGCCCTCCAGGACCCCTATAACTGATCGAATATTCATACTTAGACCGAAATCGTAATTGAGAGCGACATCGTAACTTTACCACCGACAAATCCAGCCATCTCTAGTCCTTTTCCTGGTCATCACAACCAAAGAACGGATATCCAGATGGTTTTGTTCCTCACTTTTCCAGTTTCGAATAATGCTTGGGTACGCTTGTCACCCCATATTCTATTAAAAGCTGCTGTTTCATCGATCGAGTAAAAACGCCTTACACGAGGCGTTTTTACTCGATCGATGAAACATGGATGATTGACCATCACAACTCACTTCCATCTTCCAATCCTTTTTCGCAAGAAAGACACGAAGTCTCCTTCGGTAACTGATGCGCGATGTCTCCAAACAGTCGAGGTGGTAAAGTTAGAAATATGCAATGGAGCAACTGTTCACGTGAAAGACACATGGGATAATTGAAGTTTAGTAAGGAGCCACCTTTGACGACAGACGAGGGCCAATGGCAGCGTGAAGTCAGTTATCGAAGCTATGATAATCGGGTCTCTGATATTTGGGTTCGATACTTAGACCCAGATCGAGTTATTACGATAGGGTAAGTGCTGGGAATGTCGGCACTGGGAGTAATCTCGGCACTTTGCAATCGTAAATAATTCTGCTTTCACTACTTATCCCCATGGCACGGGCAGATAAGTATTCTCAGATGGTAGGACTAATGTTGTTAACATGTGCTTGGAACAGCTATATTTGATGTGGTTTTCTCGCAGTGGCAACTTTCTTCAGGCGCACTCTAAATCTGCGAAATTTTGTGGTTTTGCTAAGCTTTGGCACATTCCGCTCTTCCACACTAAGTATTGTTTTATCAGGTCGTTGCATTCACTTTGGAGTCCGTTGTAAACGACAGTGATACACAAGTGTGAAGAGATTTCCGAAGGGGTGGTGCCGTCTACATCAGCAAGTGTGCCGAGATTGCCAACATCTGACCAAACTTCACCTTTGACCCAGGCCCTCGGAAAGGAAATACCTGGGGTGCTCGAGGTTTGCGGTACAAGGAGGTATAAATAATAAAGGTATCGCCAGACCCAACATGAACGAGGAAGCTCCATTACGAAAACCACCAAGCAAGGTGGAAGTGAAGAATTTGCTTGAGTGCCGACATTCGCAGCACTCACCTTATTTCGATCACGATCGAAAAGTACGATTAGAACGGGTAAATGTCCCGAGACGTTTGGAAAGGAATAGGACATCACAGTTCCTGCGCATAAATGCGTGAGCATCATTAGAGATCATCAACCCCATTCACGGGTGGGAACGTAATTAAGTGTACTATAGCTACCTCGGTGTAGAAACTCACTCCTCTATGAGCTTAACTCCTTCAGTGGATACGACGTATATATCCGTCACGGTGAAATTCTCCTCAGGAGGGTTTGGCATATTTTTTCATCCCGTTATATTTCGCGTTTGAGTTGAAAATTAATATGAAACTCGAAATAAACTTCAGAAAGAGTTACACAAACTTGATTTGCTTGATTCTCATGAAAATAATTTCTGACTCCTGTGGTAGACTTCCGTCCGAGAGATTCCGCACCTAAGGGGTTAACTTATCCGTTCGATGTATGCAACACATTGTAAATTGCGCTCCAGGTCTGCTTCTCACCTATACTAAACTCGATCTAATCGAAAAGCAGTCAAGAAACGTCCTTGCCCAGACGCTAAAAATTCGTCTTCGAGGGGAATCTTTTCAGATCGGTCCCACTCGGAATAAATGCTGTCTAAACGTTCGGATGAATGAAAAGAAATCTCCTTAATCGTGAAAGTTTCCTCAACTCCACATCCGAGTCCAAAATCGGTGCACACAAATAGCAGAAACTATTCATGCAATACGAGCTGTAGGTCCTGTATGGTTTTCACTTGAATCCTTGGAGCCAATAGGCTCCAAGGATGTCCAAGTGTCTTTTCGCTCTTTCACTTGATGCTTCTGGGTTACGATTCTGTTTCAACTCGAAGGGAAGACGGGTTTCACCTAATTTTCACTGACAGAGAAGGAGAGGTAGATTATGTAGTTGATACTTCGTCTCTGGTCCTCCCATGTCACCATGTCGGAAGGAGGGGGGGGGGGGGGCGGGACATATCGTCAATCAGCACAAATGATTTGAAACCCTCTAGCCAGCAGATAATTTACATAACAGTGGTCATGATACAGTTGACGCGAATGAACCTTCAGACTTTGTTTAGATTTAGATTAATCCAGCAAGGCAGGATGAAAGTAAGGATTTTGGGAACTCCGCGTAAAGAACGTTCAGTGCTAGCTTCTTCCCCCCCCCCCCCCCCCCCCCCCCCCCTCCCCTCTAAGAGGGGTAGAGTAGTGGGTAGTGAGAAGAGAAAGACCGAGAGAAAACTAGTCTCGTATCGATCGACCGGGACGTGTTGACGATGTCTCGCGCCAACGTCATCGAAATCTCTGACATGAATCCAAATAATGACCAACGCCATGCCCCCCCCCCCAGTTGTCGAGGAACGCGACCGCAATGAGACGTCACGATGGCTCGCATTTAGAGCCGAGTCGATAGATGCCAAGTTAGGTCTGGGAGACAGTTCTCGTGAGGAAGAGCGTGGGCATGAAAATAAATCAAAGTCTCCTTTCACGGGAGGTAACAGAATTCTCATCATACGCTAATTTGCACGAGAAGGAAAAAATCGTCATTCCCATTCCACGTCTACTTTCTGTTTCGACTTCAGGCACGGAACGACGAGGTTCGGCATTTTTGGAGGTTGGATTTTCTCGCACGGTTTGGAACGTTCTGCGCATCTCTCGCGAATCGGACGCGATTTCACGCGAGGACGACGGTCTCCGATGTCTGGGCTCCCTTTCGTCCTCGACGGGAAAGAGTCGGCTTTCCACGGACGCACGAACCCGTTTAGTGGCAGTCGAGAAACGAGAGAAGAGAGCGCCGCGTTACTTGCGCGTCGGCCGGTACCATGGAGGCTTGGGATGACCTCGTGCGAATTCGTGAAAACGAGGCATCGCAGAAGACCGCTCGAGCAGAAGCGGAACGAGAGATGACTCCACGGATCCACGAGTGGGGAGAGGGCAAATATTTGTCTACGCCTGTCAGCACTCTTTCGGTACGATCAACATCATCACGTAGTTCTCCTTTCACTCTTTTCATCGGCAAACTCCTCGTCCGCGAGGCGAGGTCGAGAGAGACGTACGAGTCCCTCGTCGATGTCACGGTCTCACTCTTCCCTCTGGGGTTTCCACCTTTCGATTTTAGCATAGTACGGACAGATATTCCAAGCATACTTGCACGTGTGACCGTGCTGCAACGACCCACGGCCACCTTAAGCCAAGGCGCTAATCGATACCACGAGAGTGTGGCCGACTTCTTTTAGACTAGAAGAGAGGATTCGGCTGCTATTAAGCTTCATTAACCCCTTCAGTGGGTATGACGTATGTATCCGACATGGTGAAACGCTCCTCGGGGGGGTTGGCATTTTTTTCCCGTCCCGTTATATTTCGAGTTTGAGTTGAATATGAATTCGAATCTCGAAATAGGAGTATAAACTCGAGAAAGAGTGGTACATTTCTGACACAAACACGAATTGTTATTCCCACGAAAGTCATTTCTGACTCCGGTGGTAGTTTTCTGTCTGAGAAATTTCCCACTTAAGGGGTTGACCCGAAAAATCTTGGTAAATTAAAAATGTGGACAATTCAGCGTGCATATTAAGACAAATTTGCATCACGAATATTGCATCAGAGATACCATCCGCTCTAACTTCGAACGGGTGGCAATCCTACTTCCCTCCCTCCTTTCTCGATGGAAAAAAGAGCGGACCGACGACGAGACGGCCGGAGCGGAAACGAGCACTGAACGAACGAACAAAAAGGACGAGAGAAACAAGAGGGGAAGATGGAGGAAATGAAAAAAAAAGCCGCTTCGTTTCCTTTCGTCCCGGGTTCAAGGGTGACAGACTAGCAATTAAGCGTTTTTCCCAAACGACCCTTTCCCTTCTCCAGGGAATCTCTTTCTCGTCGGGCCCATTCTTTCGAGACAAAGAATAGCACCACTCCGAACTCGTACCCGCCCAGAGTACGGAGTTCCCACACTCTTTCCTCCGGGAGTGGAACGGGGAAAGCGACGAAACTCGCCGCCGATTCGCGTCTCGAGGAATCGGCCATTTCTTTCCAAAGGTGGATTTGGACTCGGCACGGAGTCCCGGCCCCGGTCACCCGCCGAGTCCCCCCTTCCGTCTCCTCGGTCGCGTCGCGGTTTCAGTCGGCAGAGGCGACGGACGGACCGAGCCGAAATTGCCTTTTGGGAATCCCCATTTCGGTCGCAATTCCTCCACGTTCGACGAGGACTTCCTGTTCCTACCACGATCCCGTTCGCACCTTCGGCCACCGAAAAGTTGCGAATCGGCGGTCTAGAATCAAGTACCCCAAACCTCGCAAAATAGATTCCCTCTCTAGTGAGCCTCCCTCACCCCTTCTTCCCTCCCCCTTCACTCCTTCCCCTCCCCCCTCACCCCTTCTTCTCCTCCCCCCTCACGCCCCTTCCTCCACGCGATGTTAGCCGGATCAAACGGCGACTAGTCGGGTGACGATTGGAAGCGTATCTGAGTAACTGTTCCAACTTTTTCTCTCCTTATGATGGTCGACGAGGCTTCCGAAAATATCGGTTTTAGCACTAATGTATGAAGCTCCCATCGACGATAGCGGAACCACAAACACGTCTCTAACCAGGACGTCGACCGCAACTCATCTGGCATGCCACCGAACAAAAACTCGAAATCGATGGAAACGTCCCCAATCGTCTAACTTGACTACCATTCACTATTTCTCACTATTTCTTCCCCTCGATATCCACTAGGTATCTGTCATGTAAGAAAAAAAAAACCTTTTTGATCGACGGCAGACCAGAGCACACGCGCGAGGATCGATATCGATTCCAGGGAGCATTCCGGGGTTCCGAGGATGATTCACTTTTGGAAAAAGAAGAATCCGATCCCGTCAAGGTCTTTTACCGTCAAGGACGTTCCTCTTCCAAATGGGTAAGGGGGAACGGGAGAAAGGAATCGGCAGACGCGCAGGGCATTGGGTAGAATGTGCCGGAGGGAGTCATATAATGAACCGACAGATCAATGACTTCCTATGCCTGCTTCTAGACCTATGGTTATTTCGTTTCTGCCTCCGGCACCGGCTTTCCCGTGGGAGGCATTCACGCGCCTCAGAAAAAAGAAAACTTTTAAAACTCTTAACTGGATCGTTCGTTTTCTAAAAATCCAGCCACCCACCGGCGGTTTTGCGACCGCAAGAAAATCTTTTCACCGAACCATTTAACACTGCGTCCTGCATTCATCGCATCGAAAGATTTTACTGTTTTGACATCTCGAGACACGAAGCGGTTCTTCTCGCGTTCACATCCTGCATACGGTTGCAAAGTACGACTCTTTTTTTTACGCTTTCCTCATATATGAGGTGGATACCACCACTTAGGACGTAAAAGAAGAAAAAGAAGGCGCATCCCAGAGAGCAGTCGCGATTTAGCCAAGTAAGAACAATCGAGGCGGGAGGCGGAAAGAGATGGCCATGGAGTCTCGTGGAGTCTCTTTCGCGATGTTGCACCCCCACGATACGGTATCGGAGCGGATGGAGAATACGAAGCCCCCACGCGGGGGACCGTACCCTCCCAGAGCCATTTTTCCCACTCGAAGGGTGTCGAAAACCGACGCAGCTCTCGAGTTCCCCATCGTCGGATCCGATCGGTCCGATCGAGCGTCGCGATCCCAGAGTATCGTTTTTCTGGGTCATTTCTTGCGTTTCCGAAATCCGCAAGGTGGAAATCGAAACCGGAGAGGGGATTCCGTATTTTCTACCTCTCCGTGCGTTTCGTCGACCTCCGTCGAAGCCTCGAGGAAACGACCCTGCGACTCGCGGTAGCACGCGTTTCGCCTCTTACCGCAGATCGCGCCGAAACTACGATCGGGTATCTCGTATCGAAAATCGGATCGACGAAGCGCATGGGTTGCGAAAGCGAATCGCACGGGAATCCGCGCGTACCCGATCGTACTGCAAACGCTTCCACTCGAATTCGAGAAGACGATCGAAAAGATGACATCCGTGGAAATCCGGTACCTGTCTCGTTTTCTCTTCTCGTGCGGTCGCGCTCGTTCAACGTTCACGTTATACGTTCTACATACCAAAATACTCGCCGATGAAAATAAGTTTCCCCTCCCCCTGAAATATCGTTTTCAGAAAAAGTTTACATTTTGCAAGCTAAAAATATTCCTTTGCATATAACCTTCCCATGAACGTCGTCCCTCGAACCACGATGAATCCGGATGCCGGTGTAGGACGCGAAAATTACTACCTCGTAAAACGACTACCGTAGTGAAAGTTGAAGCCACTACCGTAGTAAAATCCGCGTACGCAGGACGCACGATCGTCACGCAAGAATGGCTACCGTGAACTCGGAACGTTTGCAATGCGCTATAGGTTTTCGGCAACGCCTCCAGGGTCGTCGTGGGAGATTACCACTTCCCCGAAACTTTAACCTGACTTGTCGGATGCTCATCGGTGCAGGAATCGAAGCATCAAAGGGCAGGGGTAAAGAGTACGGTTGCACCGGCTCGAGGGTTTTCGCATCGAGAAACGCGATCGCGGAGAGACGGCTGACCGTAACGACGAGTAGATTGCGACACTCCTCCACCGTGGGGAGTGGCCCTAGTCCGTCGAGAATACGACAACGTGAAGCCCACGGCAGTAACTCGAAGTGCTGGCATGGTAGGTGCGGAGAAGATGCGGGTGCGAGGAGGACGTTCGAGGACGAAGACCGGGACGTCATCGTCGTGAAAAATAAGGAGGCCCCGATGCCGATCCGTGCATTCGAGCCCTCCGGATCCAAAGCGGGAAGAAACAAAACATAAAGGCATCGGCCTCCATCGAGATGGCAGTTGGAAAACTGCAACGATCTCGTCGATGTCGTCACAAAAGTGAAACATGCGTCTGTTCATAACAGGGTCGTTTATGGCGTAGGCGTAGTAAGATTTGCGCGCGCTGATGCAACTATAACGGTGGAAAGGGCGAACGCAAAAGACCACTACGGTAGTGAAGTCGGCGACGCAAAATCGACCACGACGGTCGCGATGGCGTCGGCGAAAAAACACCGCCGTAGTCGGTTCTGACAGGAGCCAGATTCGCCGACGACACCGGTTCGACCGAACCGGAATCCGGAATGCCATTCGACGCGGACGTTGCGCTGCGTTCGCACTCGCCGGACGCGTCGCATCTTCTGCGCGCGTTCCTGCGGCTCGACGCTTCGCCGACCCGGAACCGAAGTCGGAACGAAATCTGGAGTTCGGAAGAAAGGAGCGGTTACCCTGGGTTCGTCGACGACGGTGGCGGCGTGGAGCTCGTCCAACGTGGGCCTCTCGTAGCCGGCTTGGATGCTCATCATGTTCCGATAGTGATGTTCCCTGGGAAAGGCTTCCCGCGTCAGATGACGAAGGGACTTCAGATACCGAGTGTCGTACGTCGACGTCCCTGCAACGACAATCATCGTTCCTCCCGACTCTTTTACCTTCCTCCGGACTCACCGTCCGAGTGCTCGACCGACCGCGACGGCTCCGAGAGACTCCAGAATCCACGCGAAAATACAGGGGGTGGATTTCTCCGGTTTCCTTTCGGTCGCCGACGGACTTCGAGACGAGGGGACCGAAAGTCCGTTCGAGCCCGTCGGTAGCCGAAACGGAATACGAGATGCCAAAAGTGGGGCCGATTCTTCTCTCTTTCGGTCGCGTCGAGACTTTTCGTCACCCCCTTTCGGTCGAGTCCGAGGCTCCAACGGGCTTTCGAAAACGATCATTTCGCACGATCGACTACGCAGTTCTCGCGACCTTCGGCAAGGACGCTTTTAATCCCTAACGGCCGTTCGTTTCTCCCCGCTCGGTGATCACCGACGATGGATTCACGATCACGGATGGAGCTTCGACCATTCGCGTGGCTAAAACATACTGCAAGTGCGACACCGACGACGAAATCCTGCCCGAATGCGATTCTCCGTCGCATCCTCGGAGACTTTCTGCTCGAAATACATAAATGTTTCTGCCGAAATGAATTTCTGCTTTCTGCTCTTCGGATCGCTCGAGCGCACGACTCGAAATTGCAGCAACACACGGTCGAGCGGATCGAGACGAACGGTTCTTGCGACCGTCGCGACCCACGAGTGGATTCCGCGATGGATTTCGGTTCGAGTCGCCGAGGACCCAGGACGCAAGAAAATCGTTTCGCGTTTTCGAGTCCCGTGGTGTCTTTTCGCTGGTGTTCTTTTCGACGGCAGAGAACCTTCCTTACGGATCGAGGAGTCTCGAAAGAGCAAAATTCGGGCCGCTCGGTCGAGAAGATCGGGAAACGGAACAGTTACGTATAGTTACTCGGAATGCACCCGAGCGGCGACGGACGGTTCCTACGGCAGGATCGATAAAACGGACGGAATATCGCTACGGAAGCAATTCTCCACGGTTGCTGGATCCCTCTCGTCCGACTTTTCTTTCGTGCAAGACGTCAAAGACGCAAAAGGGCTTCCTTTTGAGGACGACAAAAAAAAAAGAGGTGAAACGAAGAAGAACGTACCACCGATGTTGTGGTTGGCGGTCGTGAGGAATTCGTCGGATCCGAATTGATCGGATTCCTCGGCCCCGTCGCTTCGTTGAGATCGGACCCGATTCACTTGGAACCTCTTTCCACCTCCTTCGCCCATCTCCACCCAGTCGCCGGACGGATCCACCGTGCTCATTCCCTGTCGAGACGAAACGACCCCAGGTCGAGGCATCCGGTTCGGTAGAGGGAAGGAAACAGGCGGGACGCGGGAAACGCTCGCGAAAGCGGAAAGCAAACACTGGGAGAACCGTACTCGCCGAGTCGCTTCGCGCGATCGTCACGCTCGGACGGCGCATTCCAAGGAAATATATCGCAGAGGGAAATCGTCTGCGTTTCCGTCGGCAGGGTTCACGCGAAACGCACGTCTTCGATGGCGGTACGCATACTTCTCTCGCGAACGAAGAGAGCGGACGATCGGAAATGCGAATACCTCTCGCGCGAGGGTCGCAGTACTCGCGCGAATATCGACCGTCGACCGAGACCGACGAAACCTTCGTACTTCGACCGGACGAAAGAAAAGGAAAGAGAGATTGAGAAATCCAGCAGCGAAAAGTGCAGTCGGAAGGACTCGAGGGTAGCCTCGGCCTCGGCCCGACGCGCATTTACCTTGGCCTCAGTTCCTGCGTTCGTCGCAGCGGTTCGTCTCGTTATTCTCACTGGAACGTGCGAAACGCCTCTCTTCTTTCATCCGAAGGTCGTGGGAACCGGTCCCCCCGGTCATCGTCACGAGGAAGGAAACGAGACCGGACGTTGCAAAATCGCGAGGCCTACGTTGCCGTCGAGCACCCGACTCGTTTTCGCTTTCGAAGAAACGGGGAAATCCGGAAGCGAAGAAGGACGGTAGGAAGATTGCGGAGCCGGAGGTCGACGATACGCCGAGTCGAGTCGAGTCGACGGTGCGTACAAGTTTCGCGTGCCGTTCCGATCGGTAGGAGAGAGATCGACCGAACGAAATCTCGATTAAAATCACGAACGCCTTTCCTTTTCCTTGCTTCTTTTGGGAAGCGTTCCCGACGGGACGAGTGCATCCCCTCCGAGAGGGATCGCGCGAAGGTTCGTCCCGAGTTCACGCGACGGTCGGTTTCGAGGTCGCGGATCGGGAAACGGAGGGAATCCCGATCGGGACTCTTCCTCCGAAAGAGACTTCACTCACTCGATGCGACGATTCGGAAGAAGAAGGCGAGACGAGTGCGGGATGCGAACTGAAGGGGGTCGCGGCACTCACAGGTGGACGAGAGAGGGAGGGGGATGGAGTGGGACGGACGGGGATGGATGCACCCGAGCATCCACGATACCCTCCCTCGGGACCGTTCTCGTGGGGAGACGAGCGAACGATAACGCCATTGGAGCACCCTGGAAACTCGTCCGTGCACGAACGCGAACACCCTGCAGGGACCGCTCGGCCCAATTACCGAGTACCTGCCGTTCGGGCAGACGGAGACCTGCAAATACGGCATCTCGTCGCTTCGACTCGCACTCGAGGGAAGACGGGACGGGGCGCGAGGAGGCTCCCGGATTCCTTCCTCCGCGTCTGGAGGATCGAGGAACGTCGTTACGGTCTCGGCGACTCGCGGACGAGAGTCGCGACATCCGTCGAGCACGACCCGACGAGCGACGACGACGCGACGAACGAGAGGAAGCGAGTCTCGCTCGGGTTTCTCTAAATCGACTTCGCGCAGTCCTCGGTCGCCGAGGCTGGGTGTTAACGTCTACTCTTTGTGTTAATCTAACCGTCGAGCGCGCTCCGGGTGATCCTCGAGAGGGTTCGGAAAATCGTGGAGCCTTCTGGAAACGAGTGAAAGATTTGCACGGACGTCAGCGTCGAGATCGGATGTCTCGACCCCGTCCGTCGTGCGGCCGGGCGAGGAGGATTTCCCTCTCCGTGGAGACCTTTCTACCCGTGAAGTCGGCACGAATCACTCGCGGCATTCCGACGGTCGACGGTCGATGGAATCACGGAATCGAGGCATGCAGGAGCGAGACCGGAAGCAGAGGGGTGGAGTCACTTTCGGTAAAATCTCCCATGCTCCCTCCGTCCCCTTTTTTTTTACAGTTTTCACGCGCTCTCATGCGCGCAAAAAAACGATTCCCGTTTCGCAATCGGCGATCGTCACCTCGGATGGTCCGAGGTCGTCCCGACTCGCGGATGGAGCAAAACGGAGGTCCTCGTCGTGCAACGATCGATCGCGAACGCATCCGGGACGCGCGTTCTCATCTGATAAATGCCAGCCGCATCCTGCAGGATTTCACGATACGGGTGTCGTTTCGCGGAGGCTGCACGTCGACTCGCTCGTATCTCCTCCGCTCGTCGAAAAACCGAAACAATGCGTCGTTTCGTCACCCCGTCGTCGATCTGCATTCCAGAAATAGTGTCGGCTCGTCGTCGACCTCGCCCTTCGCGACTCCCCGCCCTAGCGTTTCCGACCCGTTAAACATCTGGGATGGGTAAAAAATGAAACGTCCACCGGGCAGATCATCCGACACGAAACGACTCTGGTTCTGTGATTAAAATATGCCTACTTTACTTGGATTTATGGGATGGGCCATCCGACTCGGGGTCCACGAATGCACCTTCACTCTCTAAGGGTGCTTCCCTTTTCACCGCCTTCTCATTTTGCCACCCGACCGGAGACGTAAGCACGCACCCACTGCGACGGAGAGTGGCAACGATAGAAGACATCGTTTCTATAGGGAACGTCGGTTTCGCACGATGAATGTGGCAGATGCATCTGTCGAAATGCGAAAGAAATATGAAAACGCAGTTATTGCGTGTTCGCAATGGGATCCAGAAGGGCTCTTTCGCACTTCTTCGCCTTCTCGATCCATCACCAGCCCCCGAACATCAAGTGGGGAAGCGCGAAACTTTACAGTGGAGAAATGGGAAGCCCCACGCGGGATCGTTCTCGTTTCCTCGCGAGAAATTCAGCGTGTTCCCAGAGAATAAAAAAAAGAAACGGGGAAAAACACTACAGCACGAAGAAGGTCTCTCGAAGTCGAATGCGGACCTAGCACTGGAGCCATTCCACTCGATGCCTTCTTCAGAAATGTTCGTTGCGTTCTGTCTTACGAGTAAGCGTGGAAACTGGCGTGCCATTCTTTCTCACAGATGTCACAAGTACGCGACAACATATCGACGATGGAAAAAATCGAAATATTTGAAAATAAAAACGAGACGTGAAAACCGGATGGTCGGGTTATAAGGGGGTAAGAATGCGATGAGAGGAAAACGGTAAGTTCACTGCTAGTTTTGGGATTTCGCATTCTCAAAAATGTCTCTCGGAGGAAAACGAAATGGGGTCATCGTGGGGCCTAGAAGAGAGAAAAAGTAAAAGGGAAAATAATAAAAATATATATTAAAATTTTTTGAAGTCACCTCGATGGTCGGTCGGGTAAAAGGGAACTCGTCTCGACGGCGACGGTCGGAAACCCACGAGAGTCTGCGAGGAGGTTGGGGAGTGGTCGTTCGAGAACGACTGGAAAGCCGACGACTGCAACGCGCACTACCCGAGGAAGTCATAAAATGCGACGGAAGTGCGAACGCGAGGAAGTAGGAATCCTTCATCGACACCAAGAAAATTCTGTTCTCGAGCAAAGGATCGAAAGGAATGACGGACGCAAAGTCTCGCGTCCGCGATCGCAAAGCAGGCTCGAAACGTACGGCCCGGCGAAATTTATTTCATCTCCGTGGGAAACGATCGCGTTCCTCGGGGAACATCTGCCACGAGCGTCGGGAACCCGCAACGTCCCACGGAGTTCAACCGGGAAGAAAAAGCTCTACGACTGCCGAGACGCCGATCACGCCGGCACCTGGGAGATGTTTTCGAAAATTTTCAAACGGCGAAATCGAGGAAACGCGCCGATGAAACTCACCACGAGGTGCTCCAGGCGGCCGAATGATATCTGACGGAAGAAAACCGGTTGAAAAAAAGGCAGGTCGTAGGGGACGATCCGCGGTCGGATCCGCGATCGATATCGATCGTGCGGAAGGCGCAGAAAGATGTCGGAGAGCGACGAAAAAACGACAGCGAACGACATTTTAGGTGACGTTCGCGAGTTTCCATCGTAAAGCGTAGAGGAGAGAGAGGCAACGAGACGCATCGGGCACGGTCGCCACTCTTTGGGACTTCCGGCCCCGTCGACCGATAATTTATACAGCTGCGGAAAGGCATTTCGTATTCTCGACGCCACGAGAAACGGCGTCGAACGCGATGCAGCGCGTCTTCCGCCGGGCATCCGCTTTCGGGAACACCGTCTCGTACGCGACGATCGAGGGTCATCGTAGAGCAGTGATGCACGACCCGCGGATACCTCTTTTGCGGCCCCTCGGATGCCACCCGTCTCTAAAAATCATATTTATATGCGGCTCATTTCGGCTCGTATTCCAGGGCTGCGGCCCTCGAACCCCTCGAATAGGAAACCGAAGTCTCGATTCGGCCCTCTAGGGGAAAAAGGTCGTGCACCACCGTCGTAGTTTCCTTTTCGTCGAGTAAACATCTGCAAGATGTTTACTCGGCCCCAAGCCTAATCGAGTTTGACACCCCTGCCGTAGTCGGTCAAAGAAGGACTCACTGAGTATCCCTGCCACAATTTTATCGAAAAAGCGAGAGCAACATGGTATTTTAGCAGTTGAGCCAGTTTTAATCGGAATAAACCACGTCGAATAGGACAGAACCAAGACTACGATCCAACGAATTTCTAAAAATAAAACCTGCTTGATACCAGAATAGAACCTAACAAAATTCCTGTCATCGAACAGATTCTTGAATGCTCATCTATACGGCATATGAAGCATATTTTTACCAGGATCATTGGGAAACATGAGGTCGAAGTTCGCTAATATCACAAAAAATATAAGATTCGGCACGCATTTTCTATATGTAAGGAAGATCAGAGTGGAATGATGCTCATACCAGGAAACTGTCTCAGAGATGGATTCTGCACTGCAATTTTGGTTTGTTCTCATGACTCTGACAAGAGATCACGGAGGAAAGAAATTGCAAATAATTATTAGATTTTGAAGAAAATAATTATAATTCAGTGTTTCGAAAACCTTTCGTTTTGCTGCAACATACGCATGGTGCTATTTAAGACTTTTCATGAGCCACAGCGCGCATTTCTAGCTGTCTTAGTTTCAGAGTCATGAAAATGCCTCGAGGAGCTACATGTGCCTGG